CCTTGGAAGGAGGCCTCACCTCCTGTCACATCCTCCTCAAACTGCTGAGTGTCCTCACAGAGGGAGTGACGGGGAGAGAGTCACAGTGTCTCTTAGGAACCAGCCTCAGTAGTCAGGCTCCCTGTTTTCCACCATCCCGAACTGCGGAAACCAGGCAGGTGGCCCCGACTCACTGGACTCAGAGTAGGAGGGGCCGAGTGCCCGGCCGAGTGAACACTGAGAGGCCATCGGAGATGGGCGCCAACCACCAGCTGCTCCTTTGCCTTGGTTCTCTGCCTCGCCGGCTCCTGTTCATCCTCTGGTATCTGCGCAGATGCTGCCTCCTCCAGGAAGCCCTCCCTACCTTCCCCTGCCGACCCCTCAAAGCTCCTGTATGGATCCCCACCCCTCGATGGCACTGTCACAGTTCTAACCTGCCCTTATTCTTGGAAGCACAGGTTTAATGCCCAGCGTGAAGGTGAAACCCCCCGGGGCCAGGGATGGCGGCTGCCTCGTCCTCTGTTTCCCCGACACCATTCAGACACCCAGACTCAGAAGGTGCTCGATAAATGTTTGTTGACTGAGAGAATCAGAGTCACCAAATGCCATGCTCAGGCTGCAAATGCGGGGAAGGGGGACGAGAGTCCTGCCCTGGGACCCACTGAGATCACCTGACTTCAGGCCCAGCTAAAGTCATTCCAGGGTTCTTTGTATCCCTGGTCAAAAGGATCCATTATCTGAAGGAAAATACTTTAAAAAAATATCTATTTCTTCTTTGGAACAAGGCAGGTTGCACCAGAGGTGACTTCCAAAGTGTGCTGGAGTCAACGTCCAAGCAGCAGTATAAAACTTAATGACATAGTCAGAGGTTCCACTGAAGACACTGCCTATCTAGCCAGGCACGTGGCACWTCCCTGTCATCGCAGCSGCTCCTGAGGCTGAGGCAGGACAACTCAAAGCCAGCCTCAGGTACTTAGTGAGGCCATAAGCCACTTAATGAGACTCTGCCCCTAAATAAAAATACCAAATAAAGAAATAAATGGCTGGGGATGTGGTTCAGTGGTTAAGTGCTCCTGAGTTCTCTGCCAACAAAACAAACAAACAACAACAAAAGGAAATTGGCTACACATACTGTGCTTAAGCACTTTTCACTTACATTGGATTTTTGCAATGACCTTCTAGGGTAAGCATTGATTTTATTCCCTCTGACAGATGAAGCAACAAGCTCGGAGAGGTGACCTGGGTTGCACACTRTCACCCAGGTGGCAGATGGCAAGCCAAGGTGTGAACTCCAGTCTGACTCAGGATGCAGTGTTGAGCTCCACCTCTGTGACCAGCTATATATCCTAGGACAAGAAATGAATGAATGAATAGAAAAAAAGTTTGTCACTCCAAAGACCAGTGTTTTAGAATAAAATCCATAATCATACAAATGTCCTTTGAAGCAAATATCAAAGTTAGAAGAGAAATTTTTTTTCATTAAAAAGAATAACAGGGGCTGGGGTTGTGGCTCAGTGGTAGAGCGCTCACCTGGCACATGTGAGGCACTGGGTTCCACCCTCAGCACCACATAGATTTAAATAAATGAAATAAAGGTGTTGTGTCCATCTACAACTAGAAAAAAAATTTTTAGAAAGGAATGACAATATCAAATGTTGGCAAGGGTGTGGAACAACTGGAAATCACACATTGCTAATGGAAACACAGAGTGATATAACCTCTTTGAAAACAGTCTATTGTGAAGTTAAACATGCACAGTTTATTATAAACTTGCACATTAGTTATGGATTTTATTATKAATTTTATTAACATACACTTACTCTATGATCCAACAATTCTAAGTATTTACTCAATAGAAATAAAAATAYATCCATACAAAGACTTATACATAGCAGCTTTATTTACACAACAAAAACCAAAGACAACCCAAAGGCCCATCAACAAGTAAATGAATAAACTGACAGTGGCACATCTATACAATGGAATACTACTCAGCCCTGAAAAGGAACAAACTAGTGGAAAGTGAGACAATTTAGAAAACCTCAAAAGCAAGTGAAAGAAGATAAATATTAAATAAATACGTAGGAATGCTTTTATGTAAAATTCTAGACAGGACAAGGTTAATCTATAATGACAAAAAGGCCAATCAATGCCCTGTTACCTCAGGCCACCTAAGGGTGGGACAAGTTGACTGTAATAGACTGTAAGGGACTGTTTCTGGATAATGGAAATGTTCTATATCTTGACTGGGGTGGTGATTAGTTACAGAGGTATATATTTGTCAAAACTCATCAAGCTGAATATTTATTATGGTACTTTTTATTTATAAAAATTATGCTAGGGCTGGGGCTATAGCTCAGTGGCAGAGCGCCTGCCTCACCTATGTGAGGCACTGGGTTTGATCCTTAGCACCACATTAAAAACGTGAAACAAATAAAATAACGGCATTCTGTCCATATACAACTACAAAAAAAAATTTAATTATGCTGGTCAGGCACAGTAGCACACGCCTGTAATCCTAGTGACTCAGGAAGCTGAGGCAGGAAGACCAGAAAACCAGTCTCAGCAACTTAGCAAGGCCCTAAGCAACTTACGGAGACTCTGTCTCAAATAAAAAATAAAAAGGGATGGGGATGGGGCTCCGTGGTAGAGTGCCTCTGGGTTCAATCCCTGGTACAAAAGGAAAAACAAAACAAAAACAGGAAAAGAATTCTGCTACAATAAAGTTGATAGGAGCTTTGGGAACAAGTCTTTGCAAAATTCTCACCTGAGTCCCTCAGGGGATGCGTGTGAGAATGTCCCTGTGGCATCATTTACAGTAATTAGACATGGTGTGCAGTCTGGGTGTCCGTGACCCAGAAAATGAAGGAAAAAAAATGGGGAGAGTGTAAACGAGGACTCCACCGAGGTCCCATCCACAGCTGGCTACATATCAGCAACTGTGACGAGTGAGAAGAACAAGTTGAGTAAGTCCCACTCAAGTAAACTGAACACACATTCACAACATTGCCTATTTTTAAAAGGGCCTCTATGCATACATACACACATATATAATGTACCTGTACATATAGTCAAGCTCATTTACGGAACTCATAAAAGGGCTTGTCTTTCTTTTGCATGGTTCTGCCAACTCAGGGGACATTTGGCATGTATGGATACGTCTTTGGTTGTCACAAATGGGGAAAGGGGTGCTACTGGCTCCTGGTGAGCACAGCCCAGGAGAGCTATTAAACATCCCACTCCGCTCAGGACGGTCCCGATAATGAATTATGCAGCCAAATGTCCACGGACCTGAGTCTGAGAAGCCCTGCAGACCAGCCTCCGGAGCAGAGCCCAGCACCGAATGGACGCATCTTCAGCGCATGAAGGAGAGACCGTGGTGACCTGGGTGGGCCGACAGCAGTGGAAACACAGAGACAGACGCGGGAGGACTCCTGTAGGCTTGGGAGGTGTGTTCCACGGGTGACACAGTCCTTATCTTTCCGGGAGCTGGGCACATCTAATCCCCTTGGGGATTCCGGCACCTGCAGTCAAGCCCTCTCTCCCCGGTCAATTTGGGAAGTCCTTGAGTTGTCCCGAACCTTGGCCAGGAGGACCCCAGGAGGTCCCTGTGGGCAGGACTTTGCATGGCATTTGAATAGCGCTCCGAGGGGGGAGGGGCTGCTAACCACACAGTGGGGGAGGGGCCAGGTGAGAAGGGAGGGATTGGAATGCGCGAAACAGAACAGAAAATTTGGGAGTGGGGCAGTTAGACTCCTCTAACAGTGAGGAGGCGGTAGAGGAAGAGAGGCTAGGAATCCTTCAACAGGAGAGGTCAGAATCCCTACAGCTGGGCCAGGTTGAGATTTGGGGGTGGTGAGGGTTAGAATCCTGGAGATTCAATAAAACTCTTGGAACAGAAGGAATTGGAGAATCAGCCAGGAGCAATTAGAGTCCCCAGGTCAGTAACCTGGGCTGGGAGGAAGGCCTGTAATCCCAGCAGCTGGGGGTGGGGATGGGGGGCTGCGGCAGGAGGATGGTGAATTCAAGGCCAGCCTCAGCGACTTAGCCAGCCACTGAGCAATCTATGGAGACCCTGTCTAAAAAAAAAAATAAAAAATAAAAAAGCTGGAGATGTTGCTTAGTTGTTAAGCGTCCCTGGGTTCAATGCCCATGCCCCCCACCTCACCCCCMAAAAAAGTCCTCGAGGTTAGGGTTATAAATCTTGAGAACAGGGTTAGTTTGGGGGGCTTTTGTTTGGTTGGTTGGTGTTTGTGTTGTTTTCAGACCAGGGATTGAAACAGTCTCTCCTACACCCACAGTCCTTTTGTTTTATTTGTTGGATTATTTTTTAGACAAGGCCTTGCTAAATCGCCCAGACTGGCCTCAAATTTGAGATCCTCCTGCCTCAGCCTCTCCAGTGGTAGCGATTTCAGGTGTGTGCCAGGGCACTGGACTTAGTTAGAATCCTTTGAAGACAGGGGCTAGGATTCTTGGTTGGCTGGATTAGAATCTTTGGGGAAAGGGGCAGTTAAAAATCCTTCAGATGTAGATGTGAAAGCAAAAAAATCCTTTGGGGGGGGGCAGGATTAGGATTTTAGGAGGAGGAGACCGGGTCCTGGGGTTCTTGGACCAGCGGGTTAGAAATCACTGGAGGCTGGGTTTGGAAAATCCGGGGAAGGGAATATATAAAAGGGGAAGCGTTGGAAACTGGGAAAGAGGAGGGTGGGAGTTGGGTTCGCGGTCTGCGGCGCTTAGGGTCCCCCAGGGACGGGGTTAACGTCCTTGGGGGCAGTTAGAAGTCTCCGATGGGTGGGGTTTTTAAAAAGATCACTGGAGGTGAGATAAGGACGCTGGGAGCAGGAGGCAGGTTAGGAACCTTGGGGAACTGGTTGTGGTCCCTGGGCTGGGGTTAATCTTAGAGGGTGGTGGCAGGACACTTTGGGGGCGGGGTTTGCATCGCTCAGGGCGCGGCTAAGGCTTCCAGATGGCCTGTGGGCGCCACCGGGTTCTTGGTTCCAGCCCGGGGGCGCAGAGTCGGTTTAGAGGCGAGTGGGACCGGACAGCCCAGCGCTGGGAGAGCCCAAGAGAACCCGCGAGGCCGAAGCCGCCGCCCCCGGAGTGGCCCCAGCCTCTGGATCTCCACCGTCAGCTCATCTTCTTCTGGGCTCGGGTGCCCCGGGCCCCGGGAGCTGCTGAGCTGGGGGGGCGCTCGAGCTGCGAGGATCCGGGCTGCCCGCGAGAAGAGGAGCGGGCGCCCAGGTGAGTGCTGCGACCGGGGCTGGGGGCCACTTGGACCGTGAGCTCCGCTGGGTCTTGGCTGGGCGCGGGGAGCCTGGGGTTGCGGGCTAGGCTCTCGAGGGGTGCAGCTGGGGGCAGTGAGGGGAGAAGGGAACGTCAGGGGAGCGGCCGAGAGGTCTTGGGAGGAGGGGTCGCCGGCCAGTGTCGGTGACCAGGTGAGGGTGGAACGCCGCCGCCTAGCTGCGAACCTGGGATCGTCAGAGAAACGGGAAGTTTGGACTGTGGAGTGACTTTTTGCTGGAGCTGCTATTTCTCTGGACCGTCCAGGTTCCCCTTCTGCAAAAGAAAAAGAAAAAGAGAAGCCCCGAGGGGAAGGCCCTGACGGTTCCCAGGGGGGGTGGGTTATGCTGGGTTGGCAGCCAGCGTGGGGACTGGGGCAGCTGGGCACAGGCGTGGCGTGAGAGACACACCCAGGCGGGGCTGCAGCTGGATCTCTAAGCTCAGTCCTCCTCCTCCGACCCCCAGCAGGCCTCTAGGTCAAGGCCCACAACCTGCCTCCTCGATCAATTCTGTGAGACCTTGGGCAAGTCACTCTCCTCCTCTCTAAATTCCAATTTCCTCGCCTGTAAAATGGGCTATTTTGTCTTCCTTTCAAGGCAGCTCGAGTATCTGCGAGGTGAAGTATGGGAGACAGTGTAGTGGGCAGGGGAGGGGACTCCGGAGCAAATTGTCTATTGGACCCTGGGCAAGGTATTTGCATTTTCTGTGCCTCAGTTTCCATAACCATCTGGTGGGGATGGTAATAATAATACAAGCCTGAGTATCCTTTATCTGAAAATCCAGAAGTGTTTTGGATTTCAGATATTTCCAGATTTTTGACTATTTGCAAATAAGGGATGAGATACCCTGGGGGAGGAGGAGGCCCAAGTCTACAAGTGAAATTCATGTATGTTTCATGAACACATAGCCTGAAGGGAATTGGTACAATATTTTGAGTGCACCCAGGTTTTGATGGTGATCGGGTCCCCTGAGGCCATTTGTGGAATTCTCCATTTATGGTGTCGGGTCAGTGCTCAAAAAGTTTCAGATTTTGGATTGGGAATGCTCCTTCCTGAGGTCACTGTGAAGGCCAAATTAAGTACTGAAGGAAAAGCTCTCCGARCACGGGTTTAGTGTATGTGGGGTATTGTCCCATGGATTGCTCATAGGTCTGGCCCAATGGTTCTCAAACTTGGGTCCTCATTCATCATCATGCTGGGGTTGTGGCTCCGTGGTAGAGCRCTTGCCTAGCACAGGTGAGGCACTGGGTTCAATTCTCAGCACCATATATAAGTGAATAAATAAAATAACTGTCCAACTAAAAAATATATATATTAAAAAAAAAAAAAGCCCTCAATGCCAGCCCTGACACGAGAGATTCTGATTCAGGAGATCTGGTCCAAGACACTGAGAATTTTCATTTGCAGGGGATGCTGATGCTGCCCAGGGACCCCACTTTCAGAACCACTTGGCTGGCACAGAAGGACCACAGTAGAGATGTTACCTTATTTCATGTTTTTTTTTTTCCTTCCTTCTCCTTTTTTTGGGGGAGTGTGGGCAGGGGTGTGGTTGCATGGTGTTAAAACACAGAAAAGCAAAGGGGGGTGATACAGTAACTACCCCAGGAATCCATCACCCAGAATTAACAGATGTCAGCATTTTGTCCTGTRTGCTTTGTATTTTTWAAAAATAAAATCACTAAACATACAATTTAAGCCCCCACCCTGCGTCCCTCAGTCCTGTTTCCATCCCCGGAGGCAACCAGTGCTGTGGATTGCAGTCCTTCTGGTTTTTGCTTTAAGMTTTATTGCACCTGTAGGAACACAGAAGAATGCATAGAGTTGTTTCTGTTTTGGAGACCTACAGCAGCGCTCCGCTCCTTAATCCACAAGGGATGCATTCCAAGACCCTCAGTAGATGCCTGGAACAGTGGATAATACTGAACCCTACAGATTCATTAATTTATGACTTCTCTTG